TCATCAAAACTCCTCTCTTAGATGCCCAGGCAATAAACCGGGGCCTCCCTTATTCCTGCATACATCTCCCTTGGCGAGGACAAAGCCAATAAAAGGCTGCTTTAATTACAGCAGCTGAGTGCTGCCAACACCCAGGTACAACACCGGTGGGTTGAGAGGTGCAGAGATGAGAAACTGGATGAAAAGTCGCATGTAACAGAAAATAATGGACCCGTTTTCACTGTTGGTGGAGTGACAACTGAAGATAAATCTCTTCGAGACACGCTCAAGAAGTTGATCAGAACTGAAGAAGCCTTTCGGATTAAATGTAAACTGAAAAATTCCTGTTGTTTCTGTTCAACTTTGACAAAATGACGAGGATGAATCTGCACAAACACTCTGTCGGATGCCGTTGCTGTGTAGTAATTGCACCTTTTTTTACTGGATGAGCATAAAAAACGACTTTGTAGAAAAGCATGTGTTCCGCACTTGTAAAACATAGGTAGTGTTTGCATTTTGGAAGTACCAACATCCAAGAATACATAGTTATTATGAGATATTTTAAAGGATGCTAATAAAGAGTATTCTTGTCCTTCGTATGCTGTCTCTCGAATCATATTCACACAGGGATGCACGGTCATGGGTGCAAAGCAGTCTCTAATTGTCACATGCACGCCCAACTACATTAGCCGCAAGAGGAGATCTTGCTGTTTCACTGTATAAATGCACTTTACTGAGCGCCAAGCTGATCTCCCGGACCACAACAACAATTTCTGCTCCTGCACTGTCAAGCATGTGTGCGCTTTCACCGCCCAGATTTTAATGATAATGAGGGGAGCCGCTTTGATTGGTCGGGTCCATTCCACAACGGGACACATTCACCCTTACGTTCAATTCTACCTGTGTAAAGTCTAGGAAAATACCAAAAGAAAGAAAACTCCACCAATGCGCAGTCAGACTGCACTTTACGCTGTGCTGAATACAATAAAGAAATGCTGATTGAATGTAAGCGCAGCAGGGATCTGAGCTCTGCAAACTTGGGTCGATTAGTGGAGCCCAGATTTCAAAGTAAACATTGTGAAGCTGCATTTTGCTACTGTGCTGCACACAAATGGAATAACCTGCCAAAAGAAGTGAAGTCAGCCCCAAGTATAAATGATTTTAAATCCAAACTTGGCTTGTTTTCCCATGCCTTTGATTAAGGTTTTCTAAACAACTTTTAATATTGTTTTCCTTTTCAGAAACCTACCGGTACTCTTATTTCTTTACTTTTAAATGTTTTTTCAGCTTTCTGTTAATGTGTTTGTACGTTGTCAATATATGTTATTTTACTAATTTTTGTAAGCCACTTGTGCTTTTCTCTGATTTGCTTCAGATTGTCATTAACTGTTATGTTGGTAAAAGCTTGTAGGTGTTGTTTCCTTGCTTGTGTACTTTGGATGAAATTTGATATACAAATAAAGCTGCCTTGCCTTGTCTAGACTTGAAAATAGGCCCCCATGAGTTGAACTGAACCAACTCAAACTTTATGGACACTTGGACTCTCCTTCAATTTTCTCCTCTCACTTCCATGTTTATGTCCCATAAGCTTGCGTCTTCTGCCTCTTCTATAACTGTGTCACCATGGTTATGGTGGAGGGATACTCCTGCCACATTCTGGTACTTTGTATCTTGCTCTACTTTGTTTCTCTCTTTTTCAATCAACAGCCAAAATCATTTTGTCATTTTAATTATTTTTCCGTTCATTTGTAACACCTTGGGAAGTTTTGCAGAACGGAGGTCTACATAGAAGACTTTACTTCATCTCAGTTGTTCTTCCACCATATCTTGTCATAAGCAAGTAATCCAGTCCGTATTGGACAAAGCATATTTCGCTATGAAAAAAAAAGTACATTGCTGTTGAATGTGATGATAACAACTTACTTCATCTTTGTAATCACTCCCAAACATAAAGAAATAAAAGCCAGAATTAATAAATGACCACTTCAAGTGGTCAAAAAGCCTCTCATGCCTGCAAAACTATTGATGTTGGGAAGTAGGCCTGGGAACAATAGACCAGTTGTCCTTTCTCATCTCCTGAACTGTACATGCTGTCATGCTCTTAAAAGCTCAGAGCGCAGCGCACAGTTGCAAATATGCTTTCACTTCAGAAGGCAATATGATACTGGGAACTGAAGTCAACAATTGAGAGTAGGATGATGACTCATAAAAGCACACCCAAGATCATCGAGCTAGGTTTGGAGTTAATGAAGAGCAGCACCACATATTCACGTGAGTGCTGCATTCATTCCATTGCACCTCAAACATCATCGTTTTTAAAATGAATCGCCATTCATTACATAAAACATAAAAGCAACTAGGAAAAGACTCATGTCCTGTATATGTAAAACGACATACTGTATAGTAGTGTCACTGAAGACGGAAAAAGTTGACATTGTGGTCTGTGTGTGTGTGTGTGTGTGTGTGTGTGTGTGTGTGTGTGTGTGTGTTTTAAACGTAGGGAGCACTCAACTCCGAAACCTTCTAAGAACGGATCCCCACTCCCTATTAGGACCTCGGCTGACACGTGCATGCATTATACATGAAAGCAGAATCTAAAAGCATGCAGCCCATTAGCAGGCATGGTATGGGCAAGAAAGGCACAAAAAAAAAAAAAATACCTTAACAAAACATGAAAAGAGACACCTCCGACACAAAGAACAAAGCTTGAACTGACGGCAGCCTGTTTAGTCTCTTATAAGACCACTAATATGCAGTAAGTGATATTGTATTGTAATCAGAGTCAAAAGAAATCAGCAGGGAGAAAGAATTTGCTTGCCTCAGTTTCATTGACTCCAGATTTTCTGTGGTTGTTACCTGAAGTGGTCCAACAACTGTGGTGTCCTTAAACTAAGCTGGATCAGCTGCCAAGTGCTGTTTTGTGTATGTGTTTGCTGTGTTCACTAATGTGATTACAGTGAAACTCATCTACAACGAAACCTACATGGGCGAAAATACCCCTTAGTGTGAAAAAATGTTCATGCATGAAAGCTATTCCCACTTTTCTGCTCCCCCTACAACGAAAAGTCCCCCTGTTCCGTTATACGAAATCTTTTTCTCTGCTCTTGATTCGCAACGAGATTCACTACAACGAAAACAGGCCTTCCGCAAAAGTCTAATCCAACCTCAGCATGCCACAGCGACCTCTACTGTTTCATTCGGAAACGGCAACAGCAACCACTACACTGGTTTACACATGCGCAATAGTACGGGAAGTATTTGTTTCAGACGCAGCACGAACATTGCACTGCTAAAATGGCGACAAACCGGACCTTTGCATACCAAGGAGATAAGAAAAGAAAAGCTTTCACGCTAGAAGACAGGATAAAGGTAATAAAAATGAAAGATGGAGGAAGCAAAATAAAATACATTATGTAAGAAATTGATGTAAGTGAAAGTAAATGCTGATCGTAAATTTCGCCAATTCTTTCCCTTTTTTTTCTATCTACGCTGGCTATATGAAGTGTCAAATAACTGTATGCTCATATTTAAGCACTATTTGAATAAAAATAAAAAAGTACACATATACGTTTTTTGTGTGCGTTCGTGTTTACGTCTGAGATAAAATTTGCTACAGTTAAAAGTCCCCTGTTGTGAAAGATTTCTTGCTGCAAACATGATTTCGTTGAAAGAGGAGTTTCACTGTACATAGAAAGGGCACATTTTGTAAAAATGCAGGTAATGATGACAGTTCACTGGAATTGTGTTCATTTTCTGCAACTACAAGTAAGCCTTACATCAACAGTAAGTGGAAGTTGACTGTGATGAGAATGTGAAGATCTGACGATAGATAAAATCACTTTAATCTGCCAAATGGGATGATTATTGGTCATCTCCATGTTAAGCTCTTCCAGTTGTTGACTGGAGTGATCATGTTCAGCGGTCGATAACCCAGCAATGCAGTGAGGTTCACTGAGTTTAGGATGGGGGGCATGATCACAGTGTGGTGATGAGAAATAGGCTGAAGGACTCCAGCTCCTTTCACCATCAGCATAATGTGTCTACTGTGGCAGTGAGGTCTGGTGACCAAAGGTCTCTCTACGAATGAAACAAGCATTTAGCAGGCTAACCAGAACATACTCCAGTGCGGCAAAGCCAAATCCAACTTCTCTTGACAAACCACACAAGCAGCCAGTCTTCTAGCTAGCTAACATTGAACATGTTTAAGTACTAGTAGCATGTCTGTCGGTCTGTCAAATCCCACCAAGAGCAGGTTGCAATTTGATTAAAAGCTACAGTTTAATACAGATCCAGAATATGCCTCAAGGAAAAACAATTTAAACAGTCCAGGTGTTGGTATGATTTTTCCAGATACAAATACTCTGCAGAGGGTCTCTTTCTAATTTCCTATAACAACATCCATGTGGTTACAACGAATAGTAAGGCCTTTTTTTATTTGGTGGACTTGTGCAGGACGCTTGTCAGTGTGCTCTGCTGACATATTGGAACCACAATGCCATGCATTTGAGTGAGTGTGTATATATGACTGTGGGTCTGTAGTCTATTGTTTCCTGGGGTGAAGTTAAACTACAGGTCTTCAACTCCCTCATGTTCTCCTCTCCGGCAGCACACCACAGCGGCTGTGAAGCGCGCACACGCTGCAGCAGTGGTGCGCTGGAGCATGCACGCACACGCAGACACAAGCGCAATACGTCGCAACTAGCAACTCACGAACTGCACGGTTATTGTTTGAAGCCGGTGATTGTGATACAATAACAGACGCACGCATGCACGTACATTTACAAGCACAGCACGCACCTGCGCGCCCACACATATAGCGCACTAGAGCAGCATAGCCGATGTTAGGTGGCAGGAAAGATCTGCAGCAGCAGAAAGCTCACTTCTGTGCCGGCGGCTGCTACTACACGGGCATGGCTGCTAATCAATAAACGCAACAATCCTCCCACCTCCAATACTGGCACAGCCACGGGGAAGCCCTTCCTCATAAATTAGGGGCACGTCTTCGCTAAGGAAGCACTCACCCTATGTTGCTCAGCGCCTGTTCCAACAGCTCGGTCTGTAAGATGTTTTGAGGGGCCGAGAAAGCACCATTGAAATGGGATAGAACCGAGCTACAGAACTGACGCAATGTCTCAAACTGCATTTTCGCCCTCCTGCTTTCTTTCTTTTGTGTTCGACAGCGGATCTCCTCTTTGCGGGGTGTTTTTTTTCTTTTCAGCCACAATACATCCCGAAGCCTCCGTCTCCCCCTCTACACATTCTCCTCGGTTTGTGTTGACTCGTATCTCCGTGGGCGCATTAAACGCGACGACGTCGATCAAGTTCCATATTTCCCCAGCAGCTCCTCGACAAACGTGTCCTTAGGTGAGTCGCATTCCGGGTGGGATCCTTTGGTCATAATTCTTCGGACTTGCAGTAAGAGCGCGTTGCAGGTACCCAAAAGGCGTTGTTTCTTCTCCCGATCGTGACACGAACGTCGCGCGGGGCTACAAAAGGCGAGTGGTCGCCCGCAGGAAGGTTGAGGTGGGGAAACATCCTACACGGCGACCGGGATCTGCATCTCCCCCAACCATGCATCAGCTGTCTCACATCCAAGTCATATTTTTGTCGAGGAACGGCGTCTCGCTAACACACGCACCCTGCTGCACTGGGATACAGCCCACTCTTTGTCATCGCTCTCATCCTGCGCGCTCTGGCATAAGCGCACAGCGGCAGATACAAGGCAAGGCATCACTGAGGCGACGCTGTCGTCAGGGGTTTTCCGCGACTGGGGTCACACCATCAGCTCATCATTCCGATGCAGTGGCGTCCTACAGCAACGCCTCTCAAATGGAAGTTTGTGTGTTCGCGACACCGGCGGACACATCCGCGGTGGGTGGAGGGGTGGGGGCTGCTCTGGAGACGAGGGATTCCATCCCATCGAGTTTAAAGCGTAATTAATCAACCGCCCCATCATCTCATGGCATCTTTCAGGCCATTAAGACGACATATCAAATCTGTATTCCCTTTTGAAATGAATTGGAAATGCAGTCATCCGTTTTTGCCCCCTAAAACGACCGCAAATTATTTTACGTGTTACACCAAAAGAAAATAGCACTGCATTGTATTAAAACGGAATGAATGGGAATGTAAAGAAATAAACTAGGTTATAAAAAGTGTAATTGCTGCGTGGTCTGCGTGTTTTTTATGTTCCATCTTATGTACAGACAGCACTTTGTAACAGCTGTGGTTGTTGTTAAAATGTTCTATAAATAAAGTTGACTTGAGTCTTCACAACTGTGTGTCTGAACTGTGGCCTCGTGAGCAATGTCAGGTTAGTCAAAACGTGACCGCCTTGACATGTGTCTTGGTCTATTGCTGCTGCTGCTTGCTTGTAAGTGTTCTCATTTTACAGTTACATGTTTGACTGTTTGCACTGTTCAATAATTGTCTGAGGGTGCATTTTGACTGTGAGTCTCCTTTTTTCCCCCACTCCACTTGATTTAAAGCGTCCCGCTAGCTTTTCGTTTTGATTTATGTGCTGCAGGTGACCCCCAAAAAATTAATGGTGTTCAGTCGCTGGTCCGTTGTCATAACCCAGCCACAGCTGGATGGATGACAGAACAATAAAGATTCCTACTTCCGCCTTGTTTCGCCTTGTTTGTGTTTGTTCATTCAGGAACAGTCTTGTTTTTATTTAGATCAATTTTTTTAAAAAATAGTGCCACCTGGATATTAAGGGCGCGTTTGGATAGTCATTCTGCCGCCCGTACAATTTGTTTGTACACCAAGAGCACGTACCCCTGTCTGTGAAAATAGAGTATATACTGTATATGGAGATAAGATTTATATTCATGCTTAGACGGCATTATTAGTGTGTCGCTACCAAAATGTATACATTTATCTGTGGACTCAGTTTGGGCTCAATGATGACTATCTGCAGGGTTGTCACTCATGGACACAGGATCAGGTGTGTAAAGACGTCTCCAAGTGGCCACTTCACAGCAGTTGACATCATGCGGAAGTGGAGATCTTCTTGCAGCGACTCGTAAATGGACTTTGTGTGTGTGGATGTCGTGCATGGACTCCAGCGAGTCAGTTTATGCTTCCGCTATGTACACCGTGGGCCTGCCCTGCGCCACATTTAAAGGGAATGAGAAAAGCAAGTTGACACTGTTCATTGCCACAATGGCACAGAGGCTCATTTCTGACTGTGTGTATGTCTACAGAAATACTAAAAGAAAGAAAACTCCACCCATGTGCACTGTTGGACCGCACTTTGCGCTACACTTGTGCTAGGTACCGAAATAGGGTCCATCGTGTTGCTTATGTAATACAGTACACACATTTATGGCCTAAATCTAAAGCTGAATTCATCAGTTCATGCTTTTCTCATGTTGTTGTTGAAGAACATTCCTCCTTTTTGTAAGGTGTAACAGATACGAAAGTACAGTATTGTAAAACAATCAAACACCTGCCTTGAATTCATTTCTTTGTTGGTGTACGCTTTTAGGGACCCAAAAAAATCCAAGTTATTTTATTTGTTCTATATTTCTTAAAATAACTGGCTGATTAATCGGTTAAAAGTATATTTGTATACTTAAATAATGGAGTCGGCTATGAAAAAACAAACAAAAAAATCATTATTCATTGAGTCCTAGATTTTACTTTATAGAAAAGCATTTTAGTGATTACAATCCCATTCATCCATCCATTTTCCAAACCAAATTAATTCAATTTACACTCTGCTTTTGAGTTGCAGACCACACACATGAAACCAAATCACACAACTGCAGGCATCTAAGGAGAAATATCAGGGTGAAAGGGGCACGTAAACAGTGCTGCACCGCTTGAGCTGAGGCCAGGAAGCAGACTAGCATCTTTCCAACAATTGATTTACATTTTTACATTTTGTCCACAGCGTAACTTTTGTTACGAAATTCTGTTCAATTGTTCCTTGTCATCCTGAATCAACGCTATTCCAAGAATTTCCAAAAATCTCGTAGCCTGAAACCATGACATATTTTTTGCACTGTAATAAGAACAGAAAGTGGCTAAGTGAGAGGTGTAGAAGTCTGAACTGCTTGGGAGCAGACATCCATTGTATGGAAAGAGGAATCATCTTCACCAGTTGTACTCCAACACATCGTATTTGCATCATACTTTACCAAAAACTAGACATTTGTACAGAAGCTTCATCATGTTATGGAAGCACAGAGATTTGAATACATAAATGAATGAATGAATGAATACTGTACCTACATACATACTGGGAGATTCTTCCACCGCCGTGGTCTTAGGTTTAACTAATACCAGACTATAAACACGGATGGTGAGCAAGAGCGTGCAACACTTTGTTTGTAGAGGTGTCTACAAGTGTTTCAAATGCTAATAGCTTTGAGAGAAGAAAGAGGAAGGAGCCACCAGGTGGATATGAACTGCCTTACATGGTAACAATATCATGACATGGAACAAAATTTAAGAGTCCATGCAAGCACAGCATGTCAATGGTCTCCGAAAAGGAATTCAGTGCACATGAAATAAGAAGCACCGTTTTCCGAACAGTAGAATTAAGTTGAATACCTAAAGCACTGTAAAACCTAAACTGGCCAACAAGATCCAACGAAAACGAGTCAACCTGTGAGCTTTCTGGGGGAAAAAAAAAGACATAAAATATTCACCCTCCATCCGCTAGCAGTTCATCAGCACTGTTTTCTTACATATGTTGTGTGGTATTTGAGAGTGGGTTGGGTGGATGGGTGTCGAAGAATTGCAGAGAGATACAGTCTATGTATCTGTTTCTCCTTTATAGGCCTTATGTGGACAAGCAGTTTGATGTGTGGCTATCAAGGAGGCACAGTTTGAGTCACTGCTCTGCGCCAACCAATACAACAGTTGCACACATGAAGCACTCTTCTGAATAGCCTTCTGTTCTTTTAGCCAGACACCTCCATGAAGCATCTGTATATTACAGTCTATCATCATCATTTTGAACGCATCAAATAAAAAACAATCATTTAACTCAGGGGTCCCCAACCACCGGGCCGCGCACCGGTCAGTTGGTGCCGGGCTGCACAGAAAGAATAAATAACTTAAATTCCTTCTGTTTTATTCATTTCGGAATATGAAAGATGTTTTATTTTGAAAATTTACCGGATTCTCTGTTATGTCAATCTACAGTATGTCACTCTTGACGCAGGTGAATGCGCGCTTCTCGGTCACGTGATAGGTTACCGCATATAAAACAAACGTCTTTGAAAAGTTTGTTTCGGGAAGGGGAAAAGGCCCAGCCAGGAGACAGAAGAGGAGCCTACGACTTTCAAGAAAGAGAAGGCTACATTTAATAGACAGTATCAGGAGTCCTATTTCAAATACAGCTTTATCTCAACGGGATGCGCCAAGCCTACTCTGCATAACAAGCAGCAATGGTGAGTCATATTTTTCATGCACTTTTTATTAGCGACGCATCTTATTTTGAAGGCACGTTTAAACGTTACCAGAGCAACCAGAGAATGTTGCGGCCAGATAGGGCGTTCCTCGTGTCATGATTCGTGTTTATTATTATGTTTTGAAAATACCACACTTTTCATGCAGGTCATATCATGATATTGTTGTATCTATCCGGCCTTAAAGGCCGGTCCCTGAAAATATTGTCTGACATGAAACCGGTCCGTGGGGCAAAAAAGGTTGGGGACCTCTGATTTAACTGATCTAAAAATATTTTGATCCCTCCATGCATATTGTATAATTTATGTGTCATTGCTTTTGGAAACTAACCTGTCTATGGGTGTATCGCCATGTCCAGAGTATCTCAGCGAGCCGTTGTCGAGGGACGCCTGTCTGGGCAGGAGCCCGCCGTGACGTCTACTTCTGTCTGACGTTGCTGTCAAGTCCCCTGAGGCTCCCCGGTAAGGGTATAGCGAAGGGTCCTGCAGTTTGGCTTTCTTCCCTTGCGGCCCGCCTTCAAATACAGCCCGCGCCTGACCAGGCACCGAGCCATAAAACCATGCCCCCGATTTGGTGAGGATTTCTTGTTGTTTTCGGCACAAGTTGCATACCCACATCACCTATAGGAAGGAAGAAGATACATGTTAGCGGTGTAATGGAAAGTGGCTATCAAAATTCTGTATATCCATGTTCAAATGTCAGATTTTTGTGACATAAAAATAATGAGATCAGAATAGATAATTTCAAAACTTTTCTTTGGATGACTTAATTGAAAAAAAAATCGAGTAAAAATAAACAACTGAGATACACAAGTTGCATACCCTCTTACAGTCGCCGATCGTGTTTGGAATTTACCAGTCACATGCAAATTCATGTTAAATGGGAGTCAGCACACACCTGCCATGATTTCACAACTGCCTCTGATTAACCCCAAATGAAGTTCAGGTGTTCTAGTAGGCTTTTTCTGGGGGTTTTTTTCCTCGCAAAAACCTGAGCGTTTTTTTGCTAATATTAACTGTGATTTGAAATTTCCTTCATTTCGACTAATGCTCTAGTTCCAGCTGAAGAAACCAGCCGCAAAGCATGATTCTGCCGAGAAAATCCTTCATTGTATGGCGTTGTATGTTTGCGCCAAATATGTCATTATGAGCAAAAACTACCACCTTGGTTTAATCGGATCATAACACATTTTCTCACGTGCATTTGGGAGATTTCAAGTGTGTTTTGGGAAAATGGAGCAGAGCTTGGATATTTTTCTTTGGAAGAACAAGGCTTCCGTCTTGCCACCCTACCTCGTAGCACAAGCATACGAAGAAGACGGGAGATTATCATATGTACTTAACAGCCAGTACTTGCCAGAAATTCCTGAAGCTCCTTCAATCTCCCTGTCAGATTTTTAACAAACCGGTTTTGTTCTCATTTTTTTCATTACTTATAGAGGAATGTCCAGTTCGCGGAAATGTCACTGTTGTGCCATATTTTCTCAACTTGATGACATCATTGTATTTCATGGCACATCTAATGCCTTGGAAATGATCGTGTACCCTTCTTCTGACTGATACCTTTAAACAATGAGATCCTTGTGATACTGTGGATGCTCTCTTTTGACCATGGCTTGTGCTGTGTGATATAATGTCAGGAAAAGGCCACTTGAACAGCTACAATTTATTTGGGGTTAATCAGAAGCACTTTAAAATGGTCATAGTTGGGTGCCGACTCACAATTTCATGTGAGTTTGAATGTTATTGGTTAATCCTGACACCACCATCTACTTAAGTTATAAGCGGGTGTGCACACTTGTGCAACTACAATATCTCAGCAATTTCTTTCCACTTGCGCTTTGTAAAAAACAGTTTTAGTTGAGGTGTACAAGTTGTAGAGTACATTCATGGTGGAAAAAGCTGAAATGATTGAGCTTGGTCTGATTTCTTTGTGTCACAAAAATGTGGCATTTGAACCAGGGTATGTCGACTTTTTATATTTGCTAAATGTGCAATTTTCAATGATGAGCAATAATGGAATGATCTGTAAATGTATGCGATGTAAATTGTTCACAAAACAAATGCAGACCACTGTTGATGGATGAAAGTCTTTTCGATTCCAAAATATCATCGACTGTCACAACAGGTGACTACTTTT